TCCTTTTTTTAAATTTAATTTTAAACCAAAAAACTGAAAAAAAAACACCCGATTATTCATTTTTACTCAATTTATTTTGGAAAAAAAACAGAACGAACCACATAAATTATATCAGAAGGTAGTTTGCCTAGCTCCTGTATTGCTGTATTTGTCAAATAATGTAAATATGACAACACAACAAGTTTAGTTTTGGTGTCACCCCAGGATTTTCAATGGCCCCCACGTTAAAACAAATCTGGAGCCGCCACTGTTCCCCTGGTGGTGCGAACACATTTAGAGCTGCTTATGGTGACACCAACATTCTTTCTAAAACCCTCAGAGTCCTGAGGACTCTTTGGTCCGAAAGCACCTCTTGTGTTTGTGGCAGCAGAGTCAGGCGATGTTTTTTGTTTTATTTATTTTATTTTTTGGTTCAGTCTAAAACACGGTGATGATCAGCAGGTTAAACAGGAAAAACAAAAGCATGTCCCTCTGCCACCTGTAGCATGCATCAGTGGCTTTGCATTCTGCCCTGTATCCACACCTGCCAACATCCGGGGGAAACCGGAGACGCTGTCCGTGTTGTCGCGTGCCATCCGTCTCATATCTGTCTCCCACGGCCCCCCGGGGTCGAGCGCTCTGCTGTGTTCCATGTAACAGTCCACTGTTGCGGTGATGCGTTCACGTGTTCAGTTGGCATGTAGAGGGGAGAAAGTGTTTGCTTTAGCAGCCATCTTTTTTTCTTTTTTTTTTCACTCAGTGACATGTAGTAAAGATAAAAACTTCTGGCCTGTGAGTCCTGGAAAAGTTTCAAATCAAATACAGCTGCTGAAAAAAATAAATAAAAACATGTCACTGCCTGAAAACCCCATGAAAATAAATGTTTCTTTTAAAACCTGCCAAACAAAATCCTATCAAAACAAATCATTGCCATTTTCTTTTTCCTTTGCCAAACTTTTTAATTATTGTTTTTATTTCTTTTGCAACAATATCACTTTTTTTTTTTTTTTTGGTGACTGACTGAGCTTACTATCAGAAAGCCATAGGGTTAGAGATGTCAAAATGCAAAGCTGTTATCGAGCCGTGAGATGTGATGCAGAGTTTCACCCAGGTGTTGTTGTTTTTTTATCAGTTTCTTCTCCTTTTATTGTGCAATCATGTTGCCAAAGAATGATTTCAAGACCTAATTTCATCACTACATGTAAATATCAACGTTGTCCAATACCGTGGCAAAAAATATATATATAAATGTTGTTTTTATTTTGTTTTCCATTTTCTGAGAAACTACAATGATGTTTATGTGATGTATTGTCTTCCAGTTGGTTGCAATAATAAAAAAAATACAAGTTGCAGAGGAAACACTTGGCTGCTATTTTGTTTATTGCTTGAAACAGAGAGAAAAAACTTTGATGCAAATATAACATATGCGCACACAGTAAAACTTTTTCCCACCTTTACTGTGAC